TGAACTGCTTTTGAAATTTATTTTTGTTCAGTCCTGTTTGTCTTGGCTTTTATTGGGTTTGCTTTTATTTTCTTCTCATATTACTTTCCAAACACATTCAAAAAGGAACAAAGTGCCACAATGCATTTATGGAAAACCAAGTGTGTTAGGTTTTAGCATATAAATAGTGTGAGAGCATTGTTTACCTGATTGAGTCAACGTGTGCAGCAAATAAAGAGGTTGTTCTCGGCTTTTTGTACTCACTTCAGTTACTCATCATATGCTGATATTTCTGTTCATGTGTGTGCGTGCATGTGTGTGTGTTGGCACCTGAAATACGCCTGTTTATGTGTGTCAGCACCCCGTCAAACGACCAGATGGCAATCGCTCCTAATCACGGTTGTGTTATTAAAGTAGTAAATCCTCCAGTTTCATAAGAAAAATATCATACGCAGAGTGGCAGTCTTCCAGTTTGTTAACATTTCAGATTCACAGACAAACAGCGACACAAACACACTACATTAATGTCCCAACCACACTGCAATTAGCTCAGTGAACGAAAAACCAACAATCATCCTGGGACTCGCAGGCAGAACAAAAAGGTGTCAAGTGGGAATCCACAAAAACTCTAATTACAGCATCCAATTAGAAGCACAATCATGCCCTGTGTCACTGCATCAATATATACAATTGCTTTTCACAGTCTCATCATTATACAGAAGTCTAATTCTCATCAGTCTTTGTGGCCCCCTGCCAATGTTTTCACTCAGTGGGGAGAGTTTTTACAGCACTAAAACAATAATTTCTTTGAGGCATCATGAAGAAACTCTTGTATCACAGTAGTAGTTGTACTTTGTTCTGTGTAGCAAAGACTTTAGGTTCTTTTTCAAATTTATGATTTCAGTGGAAGTTATCGTTTATACTGAGCTCAGTTTTTGAACAAGATATTCAGTCAGTCCTCTTGAGATATTCTGGCAGCAAGTGAAGAGATTCACAAACCCTTCTGCTTTGTTCCATTTCCAGTGCAGCAAAATCCTTTTATTTGCTGTTTGGTTGAAAATAAAATGCAGCTGAGCTTCAGAATATAAATAGTCAAAGACAAGAGCTTCTTCTCAACCTTGTCACATTAAAAAAATTCCTGCAAAAAGTTGCTGATCCTGTGTAAACATTCCTGTTCCCCACCTCCATTGGCTTTTTACAGTTTAACAAATAAGAATATTGAATGTTCAGGTAAGGATAAATATCCGATCTTAGCAAATGTGTCTGTTTAAAAACAGCAGATCCAAAAGAGAAAGTAATCAGACTTTCACACTCGCCAGGCTTTTCTTCCATTACTTTGAACTGAATGGGCCAGACGCAAACTGCCTGTACAATGACCATAAAACCTGAGCCAGCAGCAAGCAGATGGCTCAAATAGCTTGTGTATTGTGTTGTGTGGTGTGTGAGGAAAAGGCACTGAAGACGGAAAGTGTGAGTTGTGTTTACAACAGCTCCCAGAGGCTTAGGTAGAAAAGAGGAACGATAGCAGATCCTCAGGGATTCTGCTCACTGGAAAGGTAGAACAAACACAACTCAGGATTCTGGCCTTGAAGCTTTAATTGACTGTTTTAGGGAGAGGAGGAGGTTCAGTACATATGCAAATGTATCACAAACTGTACAGAAGAAAGAAAAAATAAAATGGTTAAAATTTAGGATTATAAGGACAAAAAGGAGACGCTTTTCAAAGTAAGAGTAAATTTAAAGTGTTTATTCCCAATGTAGAGGGCGATTTGCCTCTTTGTCAATTCATACCCACGTTTACTTCTGGGTAATTCTTGTTTCTATTTTGTACCTTTAAACAAACTTTTTTGTACCTATGAAGTTAGACCATTGGTGTCTTCCTTTGAAATGATGGAATTATCTTAAACGCTAGAGAAAATAAAATTTCACCTTCAGATATCACTTTCGTTAAACGTTATGTTACAGATTTCCGATCGTTGTTGTTCTGATCTCTGGATTCTAAATGACTAACGAAAAATAATAGATTACGATTCCTGATTAAACTGTATTTACTCCCCACCCTTCAACACACCTTTGTCCTTTCATGGTTAGTGCTGTTGTACAACAAAATCTTTTGTTTGTGACATCGAATATAATTTATAGATATTAAAGATTCTGAGTTGAATGTCAAGTATCACATTACCCAATTAAAAAAAAAAAACGGTTTCAGTTGTTTGTGCTCTAGTTGTGCGGCAACAGTTGTGCCACAAGCTTTCATGTTTCCTGGATGCTGTTACTCTAGCAGGGGTCAGCAACGTGTGGAAAACAAACAGCCAATTTTGTCCTCATTCCAGGGAATTAAAACTCATTAAGAGCCTCAAATGTTACATGCATGCGATTTCAAGGAATTTTTTTTTTTTTACAACGAATAGAGGAGGCTTGCTGTCATTTTTAAAAAATCACATTTTTAGTTCTACTTTGAAACCAGTAGGAAACATTCTGCACTGCGTGGCCCCATTTTATACAGAAAAGTTAGACACAAAATGAAGAAAATTGCAAAGGTATGAAATGATGAAGGTGCTCAATGAATAACATTGCAATGACCAATGAGTCAATTTGACAAGTCTGGCCATTTTCCACTTCTTTAAGAGTTGACCTGATTGGTAAGTGAGCCCGAGAGACGGAAATGCACAGATGGTGAGTCGAGACACTGTTTTTCAAAAATAGTAGTTATTCTCTAGTCTGCTTCCAAGGGTGATTTCTCAGATTGCTCTGAGTCATCTAATCCTCCACAGATAGGTCTGAATATATGACCCATATCGGAAAAGGGCTCTGATACATCTGCTGTGGGAACTATTTGCTGTAGATCTTTTTTTTTTTTTATTATTCCAAAAGGAAAGTTCAGACAATTCCAAGCAGGATAGAAGCTTGGAATTGCATCCATCATGTTTAATGGACGATGGATGCATCCATCAAGCATCCATCTTTATTAGTTTGATGAAATGTTTTTTTTTTTTTTTTGTTATCTGCTGAACTTTGGTTTGGTTGTCACAAAACATGACAATGTTATGCAAAAATCTTATTTTGTACTTCTTAGGAGGAACACATTCTTAATTTTTTTCTTAACATTTAATTATTTTTAATTTTTTCTTAATATTTTCCTCTATGCTTTAGCCCAAAACCAAAGCATTTTAGAAGAGTATCTTTCAGCTTGTAAGACATTTGACTACTCATTTGTTAAATACCTAAGCAAATAATGAACCTGTGTCCACACATAACAGACTTTTGGATAATATAATCTAGTCTAATTAAAACAATCACTTTAACATGTTCCTTTTCAGTTGTAGTTAGCACTGCACCCCACAACAGATTTACCTTCTCTAAGTGAAGAAGCTAGAAACATAATTATTAATGAAAGACTGTACAAGGAAGCCTCAAGTTGCCCAATTATGATGCCATATAGAACATCAAATTCAAGCTTCAACTGATAAAACTACCAGAGAAGAAACAGAGCTTAATTTAATAAAATTCAGCCATGTTTACAGCATAAAAGATGTTTGTGGGAGATGAGAGGGCTTCCACAATAACCCAGCCAGCACACCTAGGTGGGCCCCATATGGGATATAAGTGGGCAGGCAATATGGGTCCCAAAAGGGTTTGTCCACGGTTTCCATGGTGGCCCCACATGGGTTTGCCCAAGTAGATTTTAATGGGTGCTAACTGGGTTTTCAGTGGGTCCCACATGGTTAACTCACATGAGGCCCATCTGTGGCCCACTAGGGTGCTGTCAAGAATATTTACGTGGGTCCCAATTGGGTCTGAACTGGGCTAGAATATGGGTACCAAGTGGGTTTGTCCACGGTTTCCATGGTGGCCCCACATGGGTTTGCCCAAGTAAATTTTTATGGGTGCTGACTGGGTTTTCAGTGGGGCCCATGTGGTTAACTCACATGAGGCCCATCTGTGGCCCACTAGGGTGCTGTCAGGAATATTTACCTGGGTCCCAATTGGGTCTGAACTGGGCTAGAATATGGGTACCAAGTGGGTTTGTCCACGGTTTCCATGGTGGCCCCACATGGGTTTGCCCAAGTAAATTTTTATGGGTGCTGACTGGGTTTTCAGTGGGTCCCACATGGTTAACTCACATGAGGCCCATCTGTGGCCCACTAGGGTGCTGTCAAGAATATTTACGTGGGTCCCAATTGGGTCTGAACTGGGCTAGAATATGGGTAACAAGTGGGTTTGTCCACGGTTTCCATGGTGGCCCCACATGGGTTTGCCCAAGTAAATTTTTATGGGTGCTAACTGGGTTTTCAGTGGGTCCCACATGGTTAACTCACATGAGGCCCATCTGTGGCCCACTAGGGTGCTGTCAAGAATATTTACGTGGGTCCCAATTGGGTCTGAACTGGGCTAGAATATGGGTAACAAGTGGGTTTGTCCACGGTTTCCATGGTGGCCCCACATGGGTTTGCCCAAGTAAATTTTTATGGGTGCTGACTGGGTTTTCAGTGGGTCCCACATGGTTAACTTACATGAGGCTCATCTGTGGCCCACTAGGGTGCTGTCAGGAATATTTACCTGGGTCCCAATTGGGTCTGAACTGGGCTAGAATATGGGTAACAAGTGGGTTTGTCCACGGTTTCCATGGTGGCCCCACATGGGTTTGCCCAAGTAAATTTTTATGGGTGCTGACTGGGTTTTCAGTGGGGCCCATGTGGTTAACTTACATGAGGCTCATCTGTGGCCCACTAGGGTGCTGTCAGGAATATTTACCTGGGTCCCAATTGGGTCTGAACTGGGCTAGAATATGGGTAACAAGTGGGTTTGTCCACGGTTTCCATGGTGGCCCCACATGGGTTTGCCCAGGTTGATTTCAATGGGTGCTGACTGGGCTTTCAGTGGGACCCAGATGCCTTAATCCTGTAGGAACAATTCTCATCTAACCTGGATGTGAATTACATCTTGATGCAATCTTGATCAACAATCCAAAGTCTAGCTTAAAACGTGTTCAAATAAAAAATAAAAAAAGAGATGAAAAATTTATTTTGCTCAAGGCTTTTATTTAGTAATTTAAAATATTGTCAGGAGTTATTTTTTACCTCACTACAGCAATTATTAGAACTTCATTAATACTCAGGGAATGGTGCCACAAAAAGAAATCTGCAATTATTCACGACATCTTTGAAAATAACAGAAGCTAGTTTACTATAACAAACTTATAAACAGATCTATAAATATATATCTATAGATGCACACAAATAAAGACACCTACATATTTTCCTACAGGTCTATAAATGTATACATCTAAATACTATCTATATAACTTTATACACGTATATTCACATTGATACACACAATGTGAATATACACACCTATATAGATCTTTCACAATACATTTTTGTTAAACATTTTTAAAAATAACCTACATGCCATATGCATGCTTAAATTTGAAATCTCTCATACTTTACTGAAACTGTCCATCTTGAAAGACCTCCCCAACCTGAGTTTGAACTGGCAGTCTCTCTAGTCTATTTCCACTTCCACTCGGGCTCCAGTAAACCACTTCGAGAGTCTTTGCTGTATGCTTGTGTGATTCTGTAGATGGATAATTTCTTTTAAGTCCCCTGAAATAACAAGCAAAGGTAGAAATTGTATTAGTGTTTCATTTTAGCACAATGTAACATTCATGAGATTTGCATCTCCCCTTCATGGGGCAAAAATGCTTGCAGAAATATGCCATAATCAAAAGGACTCTTGAGTCATCATTATTATGTACAGAAACTATATTCTTACTGTAAATTTAAAATATATCCATCTATATAAATCAACTACTAGGTTCTATCGTGGTTTTGTGGTTATTTTAATATTGTTTGAAATGCAAACAATATTACCTTCAAATTTTTAAGTTCTTAACAACAGTGAAAGAATACTGTTCAAATAAAACCAAAAATTGAAGACTCAATTTTTAATCTAAAAACATTACTAAAAATAACAAACAAAAGAATAAAACAACCAAAATAAATTAACATGTTTAAGAAAGAAAAGTGAAAAAAAAAAGTTACTCTGACAATAAAAACTGATATTTACCATACAAAACATCAAAGAGACGCAGGTCCAAGAGCTTGTTTCCAATGTTGGCCAAAAAGGTTGAACTGGACTTCCAGTTCATGGGACATGAGGAATCGCACAGCTGGTTGTATTGTGTCTTCTAAGGATGCTCCTCCAATTTCTGTAGCCATGGCAACCTTAAGTACAATGACAATAACAGGACAACATTTTGTTTTTGTTCATCAGTTTGTTATTATATCACTCTTATGTGCTTAATTTCACTAACATATTAATCTACCTTTTTCAAATCATTATAAAGTGATCTTCACACGCTGATCCTCTTGAAGCCTGCAAAATATATATTTTATTAGTGCAATATAACATTTAGACTTTTCAAAAAAATAAAAAAATTAAGGCAAAACAGCCTTTGTATGGATTAACTACTGAAGCCTTATATTGTAAACACTGAACAGTTTTGCAATTATCCTAATTTCTTTGTTAACGTGACAGGACTAAGACAGTAGTATTACTCTTAAGAGAAGTTTAGAAAATCACTATAAATGTAACTAATAAAGCCTAAAACATTGCACATATAAAAAAATTAGAGCTACAATTAAATATAAGTACATTTCACATAACTGCTAGCTAAATATTGCAAAAATATCAAAAGAATTTCTTCATCTTTCAATATTTGTTTCAGGCTTGGCCACTGATTGACATGATGGGTTTCAATTTACGGACCCACATGCAGTAACCACACGTTGGATAGGGATGAGTGAGTGATTTATTTACAACAGGACAAAATAAAATCTATTTCCCGGACATCAGCGGAAGGGTGAGGACCACTCGACCAGGTTGGCCTGAAACGAGAACTTAGTTATGACGGGCTTAGAATGAGTGATCGGAGGGGAAACAGGAACAGGCTTACTTCGGTGCGGGTCTTTTGAGGCGTGGGTGTGAGATGCCAGGTTCCTGAGAGAGGGTGTGCAGCGGTTCCGAAGGTAAATGCGAGGTGGGAATGGAAGAGAGCTGGAAGCTCGAAGGGTGGAGTGGAGGCAGTGGAATCGGCGGAGCGAGCAGGCAGGTATTCACTGGTGAGTTCTCGAATGAGGCGACAAAACCCCTAGGATCGAACAAACACAGAGACCAGGTGACTTCTAGTAGACACAGAAACGTTCTCAGAAAACTGTTCACAACAGGAGAGGCCAGAGTGACTACCGGTGTATGCAACCATCTAGCATACACCAGTAGAATCTTCAGTCAATCTAGCGTAGACTGAAGATTCTGCTGCTCCTCCACCTGTGCCAAGCTCCACGGGCTCCTCGCTGAAATAAGATGCGACACTCACATACACACACAGGAACCCTGACACTGATGACTACTCTAGACCAACACAATAGCGGCAGATTGAAATAAACTATGACATAACAAAACGCTTTAAAGTGTCACACAACAATTAAAAAAAGAATTTAAAAATATGAACTACAATGCCTTCATCCTATTTACAAAAAACCTTTTAGGCCCAATATACTGAAACCACATGGGCCCCATATAGTGTTCCCATTTCTGTCCCATGCCCGGTTAGCCCACGTTAATGCTGAATTGGGCCCATACATTTAACCCAATTGAGCCAACAATATGAGTCCCATTTCGGTTAACCTTTTGAGCCTCACGCAGTTGGCCCAGATAAAACCCATGCCCTCTTATCATTACCTATATAGCCCAAAGCTAAACGATTCAATGCAGTTTTATTGAAAAAAACGACAATAATAATCTTGCATGGGTCCCAGCCAAACCAGCCTGAATCCATACATGAGACCCACCCATGCATGCTGATGTGACTGTGAGAAAGATTATTAAAAGCCCAAGTACATAGAATGAAAGCACAATAGTTACTCTTTTTAAATCATACAAATGGTTTTATTGTGTCCAGACACTTTGTAACAACCTCTGCTAGCAACATAGATTCTTCAGTGAACCGATTTCATTCTGCCTCGTTGGCGCTCAAATGAACCAATGGCAGCTCAACAAATAGAATGGCGGCGGTATTTGAAAATGGTTTGGCCCACAACGCTGCTTTTGAAATCGGTCTGCACTAAAATCTGCTTATTGTGTGTAGCTGTGTGTGTTAGCAATATCAGAAAAAGTATCACCCTAAAGAAAAGCAAAATAACAATAACAATTAAGTCTCTTTTGGGATACTGTCGTCCGATTTGTTACGAGCAACAATTTTTTTAACAAGCGATTTAAAATCTCTCCCTAAAATTTGGTACTAGGTAAAACAGAAGAAATGTACTTACAGATTCTTTCGTAGATCAGCCAACAGGCAGACTCCGCGCCAACGGACTGATGAAGAGAACAGGCTTGATTTTGAAACCGCATATCCATCCGCGGGTCATTTTACGTTTTCCAAGAAACACAAGATTAATTTTTGAGAGTGCTACATCGGTTTAACAAATGTAAAACCGATGTAGCAAAAGTTCTCAATGTAAATAAATACATTTCGTTGTCCTCCTTATTCAAATATGTTTTGGAACTATTTTCTTCAGTGGATGTGTAAAGTGCCTACCGGTACTTCAATTCACCAACCTTTATTGGCAACGGTGCCTCAGAGCAAACAATGAACAAAAAGGTAATTGGAACCAAATGAATCATTAACAGAAATGTTACGTTTTTTTATTTTTTATTTTTATTTATACTGATGACTTGGAAAATGTTTGCAAATATATGAAAAAACAGATGCTCAAAATTTTACTCTTGTCTCTCACTTGCTAATGAGTTTTGTTTATTTTCTAAACATTTTGTGATATTTTTCACAATGGTCTGATCTGAACTATTTGTCCAAATAAAAATTTAAATCTTGCTGCGAACAGGCTGCAGTAAACTCTATGGATGTCTAAACATCCAATTGATAAAAAATAATAATAAAAATAAAATAAAAAGTTATTATTATTAAAAATAAAACAAGGACTAAAGCTCAACCATGACCACTCTGTGCTTAATTTTGAGTAAGCACCAGAATATGAGTTTACGTATATATTTCAAACAGATTATTTCAAAAAAATGTTTTAAGACATTCAGACTGCAATAATAAAATGAAAAAAAGTTAGGGGTTCAAAGTGTAGCAAGAGCAATACTGAACTGGCTTTTGCTTTGACATACAGTGAAAAGTTTGAAAGTGACAGGGTAACCACATTGTCGATTAAAATGTTCTACAATTTTGTCCCATTTAGACCATGAAAAAAAGTACTAGGGGCTACATTTTCCTGCCCAGGTCCAACCCATGTATGGTTAGCCCATGCTCATGTCATGTTAGTTTAATGTGGACAGCCCACATTGGGCTTCTCATGTGGGGCCCATGATACTGAAACCACATGGGCCCCAAATAGTGTTGCCCATTTCTGTCCCATTTCCAGTTAGCCCACATTGTTGCTGAATAGGGCCCATACATTTAGCCCAAATGGGCCAGCCCATAGGGGTCCCATTTTAGTTAACCATATGTGTCCCATGAGGTTTGCCCAGATAAAACCCATGACCACTCATTACCCATATGGCCTACTACAAACCCAAGGGGGGCCCACTCATGCGTACTGGCTTGGAGACTGGACTGGACTGTTCTAGCATAAAATAATAACATGAAAAAATGTTAAGGGTTCAAAGTGTGGCTAGAGCAATACTGAACTGGTTTAAAAAATAAAGCATTGTAGAATTATTTTTAATGTTTTAATATCCTGGTCCTCTGGAAGCCTATTGTTTGTAAATGAGCCAGGCATAGATATCACACAGTGAACATGTTTTAGGTTCAAACATTAGGAAGACATGGATGTTCTGTTCTATCAGCAAAATATATCCTTGGGTGATCTCCAAGACGAGGTCACCTTCGTCCTGGAGACCTCGACAATGGTCAAGGTCACCAACCTTTACTATCGTCGAGGTTTCCTACAAGGAAAAATTAAATTCTACAATTTACCTTACATCAACTCCATTAGAGGCCAGCTGAGTAACAATTGCCTTGGCAAAGACTATAAAGCTGACATCTCGGGTAATTCTTTCCAAGTTTTGAGAATCTTGCTCTTGCAGCTTTTGCTTTGACATACAGTCAAAATTTTGAAAGTGACAGGTTAACTACAGGGGTTGGACAATGAAACTGAAACACCTGGTTTTAGACCACAATAACTTATTAGCGTGGTGTAGGGCCTCCTTTTGAGGCCAATACAGCATCAATTCGTCTTGGACAAGTATGGGGCCAAGGGAATGCCATGATATGGCAGCCCACACCATCAATGATCCACCCCCATGCTTCACTCTGGCATACAACACTCTGGCTGGAATGCATCTTTGGGGCTTCTCCACACCGTAACTCTCCCGGATGTGGGGAAAACAGTAAAGGTAGACTCATCAGAGAACAATACATGTTTCACATTGTCCACAGCACAAGATTTTCGCTCCTTGCACCATTGAAACCGACGTTTGGCATTGATACGAGTGACCAAAAGTTTGGCTATAGCAGCCCGGCTGTGTATATTGACCATGTGGAGCTCCCGACGGACAGTTTTGGTGGAAACAGGAGAGTTGAGGTGCACATTTAATTCTACTGTGATTTGGGCACCGTGGTTTTATGTTTTTGGGATACAATCCAGGTTAGCACCCAAACATCTCTTTAAGACAGCTTCATCTTGCATCCACAGTTAATCCTGTTAGATGTGGTTCGTCATTCTTGGTGGTATGCTGACATTACCCTGGATACTGTGGCTCTTGATAATCACAAAGACTTGCTGTCTTGGTGAACAATTTGCCCTCTTTTGAACTCCAGTATGTCCCAAATAATGTTATGTGCATTGCAATATTTTGAGCAAAACTGTGCTCTTACCCTGCTAATTGGACCTTCACACTCTGCTCTTACTGTTGCAATGTGCAAATCATGAAGATTGGCCACCAGGCTAGTCCAATTCAGGCATGAAACCTCCCACACTAAAATGAGAGGTGTTTCAGTTTCATTGTCCAACCCCTGTACATTGTTCTACAATTTTGTCTCATTTAGCCCACTTAAAAAAGGACTGGGGCTACATATCCACACCCAGTCCAACCTGGGCGTGGATATGTACTGACCACACTGAACCCACAGTGGGTTCAGTGTGGTCAGCCCACAT